GCATGGTGAACATTCGACCCACCAGTTGCATGCCACATGTTCAGAATGAAGCAAAACAGAGGAAGTTTTCCAAGGGGTTACCTGGCTGGACAACCCTACACTGCTTATAGGTCACCATTGGACACCCATTGGAAGCGCTAGGTATGTTTGTATCATGAACTGACCACGTTTCTTTTGGCACGGACCATCGTCGCCTCGGTGGCACTCAGGATCTCCACGGTGCTGGTGATTGCCATCGTCGCGCCACTCTTTAGGCGGGGCGTGGATGAAAGCACAGGTGGAAGGTTTCCTCTGTTTGGGGGATGGGCCGATAGGCAAAAGAAGGTTCTACTTCTGGTTTGGTCACGCGCGAGTTCGAAGGAGGCCGTTTCGGCCACCGTCAAGGACGTCTCCAGCGAAGGAGGTCAATGAACGTCCGTGACTTCTCTCATGAACTACTCCACCTGGAAGTCATTATCCACCACTACCATAGGGGCTGGACTTTCAGGGAATGATTTCCAAGAGTTCACTTTCAGGAGAAGATGAACCGAACTTGGCCCCAGACCCCGCTTCGTTTCTTTACAACCGTCCGTTCACAGACGACCCTCACCTCCGCAGGACATACTGAGATCCATCGCTCCTTTTCGAGACATTTTGGGGGGCTCACACCGTCCAGTCTCACACACCGTGAGTTCACGGATGTTCTTTTCACCTTTTTCAGATAGCCCAACATCCGGCCGGGCGGGGTCTCAGACGATGACATCAGTCAAGCGGGTCAAGCCGGTGACGCCGCTGCCTCGGCGGCTGAGCCGTTCCGGAAAAAGGCTAGAGCATTCATGGTGTCCCATTCTCTTTTGGGGTGAAAGAAGGAGATGATCACGGCCGCTTCTTTTCATATCTTCTCATTTTGACACTGATCAGACCTATCTGATTACGAGGCGCAGGCCAATTCTGCCATGAGGAAGAACATTCCGCCTCAAGACATGTGACTCAAGATATCAAGTGACGAGCAAAAGGGCGGGAGGTCTTTGGGATAACACTTCAAGAGCTTAGTGAGAAACCTACCTGAAATACAGTGGATTGACAAGTTCTTCAGTTCTTCAGATTTACAATGAGAAGCCGCGCTCATTGCGGTGTGATCCGAAAGTGCAAGAAGCTCCAGGATGATCCAGGCATTCTTTCTTGGGTGCGGAAGAACTCCTGGACCTGGATTATAATGTCAAGTTTCAATTGTACACTCCCTGAAATAATCATGGCAGTCGATAGCATGGCCCTTTGCATTAACAAGAAAAAAACCATGAAATCCTCATAATTACCAAACAGGTGGTTTTCACTCACTCACTCCACTTCCAGCAAACAAACCGATCCACTTCTGTCTCCTCTTTTCCCACGACCCGAGACCGACCTTCGCGGCCTCCGCGCGGCCTCCGCAGGATACCGACCATCGAGTTCGACTTTTCCACCTTCATCCGGGCAGATGGGGATTCGATGCTGAGGCCCTCTGACCGACGGAGACCTCGCGGTCTCCGGGCGGAGAGGTGGACATCGCAGAAAGCATGGTCCGGGCTTTTTCCTTTAAGGATGTGATCTATCCATTTCATCCTCTTGAGGTGGCCACACTGCCATGTCTGATGTCTTACAGCGCCGTTGACAGACAGCCGTCTTCGCTACGATCCCCAAGCGACGCAGGCGAGAAGCCTACATCCTGGCGCTCGGCGAAAGAGAGGGCCCCAACGCACGACGCAGGCGACGCCGGCGACGGAGGATCCGCGAGCGCCAGGCGACAACGAAAACCAACGAAATAACATGTAGAGCAGCCCCCGCCAAGCGATGAAGATCAACGCAAATAGCGTGAGGGTCTCTTGGGATAGATGGGAAAAAAACCGCTTCTTTCGATACCTCGCAACCTCCAGACTTCAGACTGAAGTTTCGTCACCTCCACACGAATCCACCTCCACCCACCTCCACCGTGCTGGCGAGGCTCTCGGCGCTCCCTGAGACCGGTGAGCTGCGCCCCGGGGAGCTCCTGCAGGTCGGCGACGAGGAGGTGGAGGCGCTGAACCTGGGCGCTGACCGGGGGGGGGGAGAAGGGTGGATGGAGGATGGGTGGATGGTTCTTAAAGGTTTTGGGCCGGGCTGTGGGTTGAAGGGGCGCATAGCATTGATCTTTTCCTTTGTAAGATTACTGTTGAGTGGTGGAGAAGGACGTTTCGGCCACAAGTGGACAGGTGATCCGATATATGAGAGTGACTTAAGACCCTTTACTGGTCGATGACTGTCCTTAGTGGGGGTGAACTGTACCTTTTTTGTATGTATAGT